GGGGGGCGGGGGGAGAGCTCCAGCTAATTTAACAGCTGAGGAGAACAACTTAATTAGAGTCATCTGGAAATTGGGTAAAACCCCTTTCTTCGGTTTCCCACCCCCAGACCCAGAGCACGGAGACTTCCCCATCGGCTGCACGTGCTTTGGGGATGGGGATGGGGAGGGGGCCCCCCCCCCAGCCCTACCAAGCAGATGGCCTTCATTACGTGTGGGATCTAATTGGATTGATCAGCAGTTAATGGGAAATTAAGAGGTGAATTCCTTCCCCCCTCCCCTCCCTTCCTCCCAGCTCCACCAGGTGCTCGGTGCAGCCTCTGGGGCTGGTGCAGCCCAGTCCCTTGTTGTCCCCCCCTCCTTTCCTGAGGGGGTGAGCGAGCAGAAGGTGGGGGGGGGCTAGTTTGGACCTCGTGGGCATTGGGGGTGAGGGTCCGTGCGTGGGGAAGGATGGGGGGGGCGTGCGATGGCTGTGTCTTCTCCTGGTGTGAGCACAGGTGTGTGGGCACGGGGGTGTGTGGGCACGGGGGTGTGTGGGCACCGGGGTGTGCACTCTTCTCCTGGCGTGTGGCTCCTGAGCCGTGCTTTGGCCTTGCTCCTGCTTTTTCCTCTCATTCCTGGTGCCCACAGCCCGGCTGTGACCCCCCCAGGGAGGGGGCTGGGACTCTGGTGACGTGGGGACACTCAGCATCTCTGCAGTGGTTTGTGCCAGGGGGCTGCCACCCACCCCCCGTAACACAGAATCCCAGAATCTTCTAGGTTGGAAGGGACCTTCAAGATCATCTTGTCCAACGGTCAACCTCACTGACAAAAATAGACACCCCCACAACAAACAAGGAGCATCATCACTAAACCAGACCTCCCAGCACCACATCAACCCGGCTTTTGAACACCTCCAGGGATGGGGCCTCAACCCCCTCCCTGGGCAGCCCATTCCAAGGGCTGAGAACCCTTTCAGGGAAAAAATTGTTCCTAATATCCAGCCTGAACCTCCCCTGGTGCAACTTGAGGCCATTTCCTCTCGTCCTGTCGCCTGGGACTTGAGAAAAGAGACCGACCCCCATCTCTCTACCCCCTCCTTTCAGGGAGTTGGAGAGAGCAAGAAGGTCTCCCCTCAGCCTCCTCTTCTCCAGGCTGAACACCCCCAGCTCCCTCAGCCTCTCCTCATCAGACTTATTCTCCAGACCCCTCACCAGCTTTGTCGCCCTTCTCTGGACCCGCTCCAGCCCCTCAATGTCTTTTTTATGGT